AATGAATAACAAAATCTTGTGACTCTCAGAGTCCAATGCAGCTGCATCTGTGATTGGCCATTAATTAGAAACAACCAGCATGCCCCAATCACAGATGCACCTGTTGCATTCCACAGCAGCAGACAGTTATTGTTTACATTTCTTTCCTGAGGCACTCAGCTCCTCAGGAGGGAAAAATCCTAGCAAAGGATTTTTCATAAAATATCATGGCTACATGGGAAACACTTTTTTCTTATCAATTTCTCTGCCTTGGCATATTTTCATTCTTTGTCACATGCATAATAGTACTAGATGTTGAATAGGGCCAAGGTAACACTGAGCAATTCCTAATTGTTTTGGTATGCACATTTTGACTTGCCTTGGGGTCAAAATGAATGTTTGTGCCTCCTCTGTTTTCTAGTGATACTCCATTGCTGGAGAGAGAAATTTGAATGTTTTTCTAAATTGATTGTCCCTTTCAAAAATAGCTGTCTTTATTAGTAGAGTAGTAATCATTATTAATCAGTATGATACCATTGGCAGAGGCAGCTAAATTTGGCATTTGAAATCCCAGAACAGGACTGAGAATGTAAAAGGTTGTGAATGAAGGAGATGTATGTCCTCATCTATCATTTTCTTTTCTTAGTGAGATTTCTGCAGGGAGTGCAAAACCATTGACTGACAATTAGTCTCTGAAAGTAATTTTTTTTTCAGCATGTGATTTCACTTTAGACCATTTTAATGCTGAGTAAAGATGTACAGCACGAGAAGAGAGTACAAATTCCTAAAATAGTGTAAGTTGGTTGTGTGGCCAAAATTTAATGTTCTGAAAACAGCTGTAATAATCCTAAAAAAACATTGTGAATCATTGAGAAAGAATAAAATGTAGAAACATTTTGTTTCTACTAGACCTTGTGTTTAGGAATATGTCACATGTTGAGGCTACCTCAACACAAAATAATTTGTGACCAATTAGAAGGTTTGCAACATGAGTGTTGTTTTATTTTGGTAAAAGTTGTTGCTAATTGATTAGTGCTCCCTGCTCCACTCTTTCTATTTTTTCCTGTCATCACCCACCCCTCTTGGAGGTAACAACCACTCAAGCATGAATGTCCCATAAATGTGAATGGTCTTCCATTGGTTTTGTCATTTTTTCCATTCAATGCACTATCCCACACACCTAGTTTTCCTTTTAGCCTGGTTTCCAGATTACTTTTGTAATCAGATCAGCCATATAGGAGCAAATAAAAAAACTGGACAAAAATTGTAGGACTTACTGAATAGAAATCTAGGCAGAGGCCCTTCCCAAACCTACCAACAGCTATATATTGTGTACATGAATTCACTCTTGCTGCTCCAAAACTCTGAGTCCTTCAGCATTCCTTAGGCTGACCTGAAGGGCAATACTGCTTTGCTTGACAGATGAGATTTTGCTGTAAATAGAAGAGACTTTTCTTATATTCTTTCTAGAGAGCTGGATAGTGTGTTTAATTTACTTTCAGTGTTTTGATACTTTGCATTGCAGGGTTATTTCTTACATTTTCCAGTCTTCCCTTCAGGGACAAATCATGCAGTCATGCTGCTTACAGTCATGCTGCTTCTTCCCTTCTTGGTCTGAAAGGTCAGCAGTGGTTGCCCATTGAGAAAGCCGTAACTGAGACTTTCCTCACTTGGTGAGGAATCTTATCCCTAATTTCATCTCTGTCTCACTCTCATCTCTAATGAAAAAAGCAAGTCATCATAATTTGATAGAGGATTTTCATGTGCTCCCTTCAGCTCTTGTTGTAGTCAACCTAACGTGTATAAAAATCATTATTTTTGTAGCCTCCCTTAATACATCTGATATCTGCACTTTTCAGTGCTGTTAGGTGCTGCATCCTACAACTCTCCAATGCTGCTTTCACATTAATGATTCTTATTACTTCCCTGGATTGCATGTTATTTGCCATGCACTGCAGACATTTATCTGTGAGCTTTTTATTCACGTATTGTAATTGTATTTGCAGGCCATAGGAGAACTATTCAGTTAGCACTGCTCTTTGGAAGAGTCTGTCAGTATAATTTTTGTTTGCTTGTTTGTCTGGTTGTTTGACTTTCTAGGAAACAAAAGTCTAAACCCAGTGTCTCCTTAACAGTTTTGGAATTTATTAATCCATTTCAGCAAAATAGTGAAGATTTTTTTTAATGTGTTCAATGCAAGAGAAGCTCCAGAGAACATTTAGTCCTTATCAGACATTGTAAATTTCTCATCCAGAACAATACTTATGAAATTCCAACATCACTTTTGTCATCTTAAGCATCAGAGAATTTAACCATCAGTCCAAATTCCTGTCTTGTATGGGTTCTCTATTGCCTGAGAGCTGGTCATCTCCTTTCATAACCTCAGTTTATTTCTCTTAACACAGTAAATCAACTTTAGGACACAAGTAGCAGTCAACAGAGCTTCGTAAGATCCACTATGGACAAAATACTTGTTTTGGATTGTAACCCAAAATTTGGGTTACCCAAATACAATACTGCTGCAGAAATATAAGTATACTTAATTAAATCAACATAAAATTTAGAGTGAATAACCATTTTTTAGTCATGTGAGATACTTTGGTTAATTGGAAGTGGCTATATGTGTAAAGTGTCAACGAATATTGAAGTCCATAATATTCTTTGCAATGTTCTTGGTGTACATTGTTACAAATCTAGAGGAGAGCTTAAGTCCTGCCTTTGACTCAGATTTCTGGCAGTAGGACTGTTGTGGGTAGCCTGCAGCCCACATCACTCACAGGTTCTTAACAATAGTCAGTTAGGTCTATTACAATTATTTATTTAATTAACACAAATTTAACAGACATAAGACTTTAACAGATGACATACTACACAGGATAAATGAAAGAAACACTACTACAAGATAACACGTAGTGCATAACTGAGGTACCTAATATTACAGCTAGTAAAGAAATAGTGTAGATTAGGATTCCATGTAGCTTACCATCCGATTGCTGATGGGGAACACATAGGATCCTTCCTCTCAATTCCCTGGAACGTAACTGCAGAACTTGCATCCGAACTCATGGGAGAAGTCATGCACGTTTCCAGGGTGTGTGTAAGACACTTCTACCTCCATGAAAATTTGTATAGCTTTTATAATTAGTAAAGTAATGTGTCTCACAGTCGGGAATTCCTAGCTTATCTCCCTACATCTTGCGTCAAGGCGAGATATTTATTGTCAGCTGGGGATCTCGCCTCCCTGGTGCCAGAGATAACTCACAGCTCAACATCTGTCCAGCCTGGGTTATGTCACCAGTTCTTGCAGGGGCAGAATGTCCGGAGCTATGCACCAGCTGATGAACATAGCAGAAGAGTAGAAAATAGAGTTAGCTAACAGTCCGTAGCCTCAAGACAATTTAACCACCACAAACTCAGGACAGAACTTTAGTCTAAAGTTCACCAGGGCAGTTCTGCAAAGTTTAACTTATTATTTCTTTCAATGTGTCTTCCAGAAGAAACTGTTAAGATAAAAAACCCTTTGCATAAACTTTGAGTATTATTTAATGGCTTTATCTAGTGAATGTGTGCATGTTAGCAGCATAATAGCACTTGCCCATACCCTCTTCTCAGTGTTAATTTTTGCTCCTTATTTATTTACTATTGATTAAAGAAAAGAGGATAAGGTTCAGCCAAAATATGCACTTCGCTGACATCTTGCAGCTGCCATTACAGTGGCTCTCGATTGTCAGATAACAGAATCACAGACTAGTTGAGGCAGGAAGGGCACACTGGAAGTCATCGTCTAACCACCTTGGTTTCCAGGATGAGATCCTTCATCACTTTCAGGACCCAAAGTGAAACTTTGGTTCTGTGCCCTCCTTCTTGCACTTGGCTAGAGAAGTGACCTTTTCTTTCTGCAGTCTTGCATCACTTCTCCCAGTCACCATGTTTAACTGTACACTCAGTGAGCTTGTGCATGTGTCCTGTCAGGGCCTATGGACTTACATCTATCCAGTTTGCTTAATTATTCCCTGACCTAATCCTCTTCCACCAAGGGTACACCTTCCTTGCTCCTAGCCTCATCCATTGTTGTCTGGAACCTGAGATTCCTGAATCAGATCAGATGTGGTTATGTGAATTCGTTCAGACTGTTGCCATGGCTGAAACTAGCAAGTCTGATGGATAAATATGGAAATGCATTTTAAATGGCAAGCATTTTCTGTGTGAAAACACAACTTGAGTAGGTATCTAATGACACATTACAACACCTAAGAACAGCAGTTGCAGATTTTCCAAATGGTACCTGTGAATAGGCCAGAATATGTGAAAAAAGTACATGGGCCTTTATAGTCAATACTGACAAGATCCATAATATTAGAGACTCTTTTTATGCTGGTCAGTGACCCATGGTAAAAATTTCTCTTGGAGTATAGCAAGAAGATGTGTTTAGCCAGGGTTTTGTACTGATGCAGTTCATTAAAGACATTGCCACACTGGCTAAGATGCCATTAAAACTGTGCTTACTGTTCCACTGAATTTGACAGTGGCTAAATCCATTCTTACTGCTTAATAACCAGCTGTCATAGTCCTTGTAATGTAACACTTTCATTATATCCAGGAAGAAATAGAACACACAAAAGGATAGCAAATGATCCTGGGAGGTCTTTCTCAGACAGATAAATGCAGCTAAGAATAAAGTGAGTTGCTATTATTAGAACTGTAATGTTAATCAAAAATATGGACAGTTATACACTCTTGAAGTTGGCTTTTTGGTTTGTTTTTTTCTGATTCATTGTGGGGGTTTGTTTTTTGGTTTTTTAGTGTTTTGTTTTTTGGGGTTTTTTTTTTTAGTGCAGAAAAGTTAAAAAAATACACCCACACAGTTTGCAGGGGTTTGAGAGAAATGTTTCACATTATTTATGCAGCAGACATTTTAAGGAAGCAGATTAAGAGAAGATTGTCCAGTTTGCTAGTTTAAAACTTTGAAAAATGGTCACACACTATACCATAAAACTAATGTTGCTTATGTTTTCTATTAGGAACGTCTCCTGATGAGCCTTTTGCCCAGGAATGTTGCAATGGAAATGAAGGAAGACTTCCTGAAGCCTCCAGAAAGGATTTTCCACAAGATTTACATTCAAAGGCATGACAATGTTAGGTAGGATTGATGCAGCCCATGAAATAAACTAAAGAACTAAGAATATTTAGTACAAGAACAGTGATGTATAATTGCACTCAGGTTTCAGAGGAAAAAACCAAGCAATAAAATGAAGATTTATCATTTATACAGAGTAGAAGAATGGGTGCACTAGGAAGATTTAATAATCTTCTCAGGAGATGTCTGAATCAATAAATGTCTTAGAATAGTAGTTCTGGGAGACTGACAGCTTTTTCCAAATGACTAGCCATTGGTTTTGTACTGTATTATGTTTTGGGTGAACAGGAATATTTATTCTGCATGGTAGTTTTTGCATTTTTTTTTATAGTAAGATTAATTACTTCTAAATTAATAGATTTTCCTGGGTAATAGCATGGAAACACCAAAAGAAAGTGTGATGCAAATGTAAAGAAATGTGTATTTGTCCACATCACATGAGCATTACCCCCCAGAGATTATTGACTAAGGCTCAGTTCTGCTTCTTGCTCTTGTTCAATAGTTGACTGTGTGCAAGTACTGTCATTTATACTGCTTTTTCTTGAAGTGCATTCTTATTTTTTATTCTTCTTTGCCTCCCGAACAAATTCCTTAAAGAACTTGTCTGTGTTTTATTACACTACTGCCAAGTGCCTTGCTTCCACATCAAAAACAGCATCAAAGAAGTTCAGTTGGTGTCACCCTTTTACTAAACAAGGTGCAGTGTTAGTAAGTGATGCCACAGATCTGCCTTGATTTGCATGGTGTACTCATGTAGCAAAGGAGTAAACTTCAGCACCTCCTCCTCTCCCTCCTCCACTGCTAAATTTCTTCTCTCAAGATTTAGTCTATCTCCCATTGAGCTGGCTTTAATATATGCAAGGACCATTTCCTAGTGACTAAGTTGTTGCAACTAAAAGCATTTCTGTCACTAAGGGAATCAGAGATGTCCGTGATGGGAGTGTTCAGAATTAGGTCAGTTTTACGCTGTAAAATTTAACATTACTGAATTAAAAATTAGTAGTTTACTTCATGTTAATGGTTAAATCTTGCATAATATTAATCTCATCAGTTTGCTTACAAAACTTCGTCTTTAACAATCAGTTTAAAATTGGTTCTACACGCACACTACCCCAAAGCTGATGCTGAAAATGATGATGTTGTTTACAGTATCTGATGGTTCTCAATTGTCAGTCTGACTTGAGAGCTCCTGAAGGACACATTCAAAATCTGAGTTATCTTACTCCTTCACTTTCCCTTGTTTATGTCATATGGTTTTATTCTGTTGCACTCTTCACCAGCACCATTTGCACTTTTTTTTCTTTTTCTTGCCAGTCTTCCATCTTTGAATAATAACCTGTCTGTCTATTTGCAGTCAGTTTTTCTAATCAATCTCAGGTATGCCAGGTTTTGATGCTTGGGTGTCTTCTACGTTGACCCTTTGGTGATCACATTCCTTAATATACTTATAAAAATTGTGTTTAAAAATTATGTCCCCACAGTGCTATGAAACACATGTATGCTACTGTTAGTTGCCCTTATATTCAGGGTCAAGGCAAGACTGATAATTATATCATGATTAGTATATTTATATCTTGTATGTGTCATAAGTCTCTGCATTCATTACACTGTTTAGAGTCATCTTAGAAAGCATTGCTTTGCAGTTAATTATAGTGTTTCTGAGTCCTCCCTTTTGCTAAGATCTTTTTGAAATGTAACCTCAGGAGTAGTTCTTTTTCCTACATGACCTTTTTTTCACATAACTGCTAAAACTTTTGTGGCTTATTCACTGCTCTGATGTGGAGTTCATAAAAGTCTTTGAATCAAAACACCCTGTCTGGAGAGGTGGTCTGACATTAAGAAGGCATTTTTGGGGCAAATGAAGCCCAAGTAGTATGGGGTCATTTTAGTGTCACAGGTAAGATCCTCAGGGAAGAGAACTGAATATAGCAGGCCTCCCTTCACTATCTGTACTTATAAGAAACTCTATTGGCTTTTATTTCAGTAATGCAACTATTCTACAATTATAATAACAATTAAAAAGTGGGTTGAAATTGTGTCCAATAAATACCCAGCAGTCTGTGGCTAGCACATCCCAGTAGGACAGAATTTCATCCCAGAAGTTTCGTGACTGTGTAGATCTGAAGGATGAAGGGGAACTCCCAGCAGGTGCCACCCTGACACCAATGTGAAGAACAGCATTACAACATACCTTTGGCAGGGCTGCTGGTGGTCAGTGCCAATAATAAGTGTTTGATTTACTTTCTTAAGGAAATGAAAACCACTTTTTTTTTTTTTTTCTTCTGGGTAGTGGCAGTTCAAGTGGCATAACAAGTAAACCTGAGAGATCATTCCTATATTCTTGTGAATTGTCCTCTTCATATCAAGTTTTCTGTAAAGTGCTGCTACTAAAACAAACTAACAAAAAGCCCCTCTATAATTCTATATTCCAGGGTTTTTTAACTCCAAAGCTACACAGGGGAAAATAGAAAATGTGCTACACTTTTCCTTTTGCAATGCTTTCTTTTTCTCCCTGCAAATACCTGGTGGTATCAGAGCATTATTCTGCAGAAAAGATAGTCTGAAGGAAGCAGGCATGCAATTAGTAGATTACATGATTTTTCCATTCCTTATCTGTTGAAAAACTAACAGCAAAAAAAAAAATACCCTCATAAGTATCAGAAAACATCTGTTTCAGTCTTCTAAATAGCTGCCTGAAAAAAGGGCAAAGAATATTTAATCTTACATGTGAAAAAAGATTCATACAGCTACTTTCTTTACCTCCTCCCAGAAAAGCACGCTACAGTGGAGACCTCTGTAAGAAGTGAATGATGGACTGGGGAAAAGTACTGGCATATTTCAGATAACTATGGCAACTGCTCTGGTTTATAAATTAATTGGTGAATATTTTACCAACTACCCAATGACTGCCTGCAACTCGCTGTGCTCTGGAGGGGAATGTGTCATGCTTTGATCAGCTCTTCCCAGATCTGTAGTACATCTGCTACCGTGTGAAGTTTTTGAACAGTATTGCTGTGCAGTAAGAAATGAGGGCATGTGTTTTAAATGGAGACCAATAACCTAATGCAAATGCACTATGCAAAACAAGATATGGAAATACACATCTGATATAGCATTAGCCCAGTGAGGACAATAAACTCAACAATAAGAAAACTAAAAATAATTAATAAACTAAATAAATAAACTAAAAATAAACTAAAAAACTAAAATAATTACAGGTAATAAAGTGTCTATGGTTTATCAGAAGGAAATAATCTGTATACAGACCACAGGCTGTTACAGTACACAAGTACAGTACAAGTGGTTTTTTTTTTTACTGGGGTAGTCCCAGACAAGGAAGGACACCATGAAAGATGTGGGAACCAGGTGTAAAGTTACATGTAAAGGCTACCCAACAGACCAGCTCTTCAGTGATTCTCAGAAATATGTTTTGTAACATGGAGACATGCTTTTTCTAAGATTAGGTTAAGAATTTAAGATTCATATTTTCTTCTTGCCTTATTCATACAGGGCTGAGAAATATACAGATCACATATGTAGGTAGTGTCCATTGTAAAAACTCACTAGTCCTGACTGAATTTCTCCATAGACCCATAATTCAATTATGAAAATTTCAAATTGAGTTTCAGCTCAAATATATGCCCTGCGTGGAAACCTCAACACATTTTGGAATGGATATTAGATATTTATGAAACTGTTTCAGCTCATGGATGAATAAGGATATGGCTGGCTTCCTATATTAACACACAACTTCTTGCTTCATTCTATGACTCAAACAATGTTGAAGAGACAAAAAGAAAGTAAACTTTGAACAGCTAAAAATTTCTTGGGCCTCAGTTACAGCAGTCTCATTTAACCTTTTTTTTTTTTTTTCAAGCGTGAAATAGAACTGGATGCTTTGTAAGAAGATACATTAATTTTAGGAAACACACTGCCTGATTTCAAAGCTACTAATAAAAAGATTCCTTGTAGCATTTTAGAGGTTCTTGAGACTAATTCTGAAGCCAGAACACAACCTGCACATATTTGTGGGCAAATACTTGTGGTCTGTCTTGTCTTTCAAAAAACATCAGACCTTAAATAATTTTTTAATTTAACTTAACCATTCCAACATTTTAAAAAGCTGTGATTGTGATGCCTATGGACAGACTTCTGTATCTAGACTTTCTGAACTTGTAAGACTTCACAGTGAACTAGTTTTCGTAAATTATTATTATGTAAAAAAACAGAGCCTCCCTTTGTTTTTATTTTTAACAGCCCTCTTTACTTTTAGAGACCACTTTTTTCTTAAACATTGAAGTGAGTCACACATAAAATTATTAATAAACTTCCCTTGTGTTTCACCTTTGAGGCAAAAAGAGTCCTACAGTTTACCTTCTGAGGCACCATGTGCCATTAAAATACCATTTTTACTGTAAGTTGTACTTTAATTAAACAAATGGCCCAAATTAAAATAAAAAACAGGGCATACAACCCCTCCTTATTTTGTAAAGTACTTGTTTATGCAAGTGGCTCCATTGAAAACAGCAGGACTATTCAAGTGCACAAAGCACATGAATGAATACTGTTAAAACTGAACATTTACTACCTACAAGCTGTCAAATCTCTTGTGTAAGTTGGCAGGACTTCTCCTTCTGAATGACCCATAGAGTGGCATACAAAAGAGTTGCTCTGTCAATACTCACACTTGGGAAGCAGCTTAAATCTTTTAAACCAAGCCGCAAGCTTTCTGCACTCAGTTCTAGAAGGTGCAGCTGCTTCCTGCTGTGGTACAGGAGAGCTGCAGCACAGTTCAGGTGCTGTCTATGCCTGCCTGCAGAGATCACGGCGGGAGAAAACAGGAATACAGAAGGGATTCAGAGTGATAACTCAGGTCTTGTTAACACAGAAATGTTTCAGATTGTCAAGGAGTACGAGATAATGATGTATGTAACTCATATGCCAGTGCTGAACCTGTTTGTCTCTGTGACAGAGGAGAGAAATGTCTGTTTATACTGTTTCCT